CTCGTCATCCGTGTTTCAAAAATACCCAAATTGCAGAGTATTTGACAGTTTTCCTGAAATCGATGGTTACCATCTTGGATTTCGATATGGCGGCGGAAAACGATTTTCGATCTCTATGCGTCATCCTCGTTTCTAATCGGCAGTATGGAAATGAGCAAAGAGCCATTAATGCGACAGTACAAGTCAATTCGAGCTGAACATTGCATTCGGTCCTAAGTAACATATACAGATTTTCTTCGTCGACTTTATCTTTGTATCCCAACGGCCATGCAAAGCCATTCCCAAGAATTTTAAACATAAAGATCGAAAAAAGAAGCTTTTATCTAGCATGCAATACGACAAACACAACAAGGAACGGTTATGTGCTCCAGTTATTAACGAAAGAGAAAGTCGAAGAAGAAAATAGATCAATGTTACTGATGACCTAATGCAATGTTCAGCTGAATTGTACGATGTACGATTTGACAAAGAAGTGTGCGTATGAAGTAACATCAAAAACACTTTGAATCTGTCAGTAGTTATGGTGTGGTATTTACGACATCATTATAACCTTTTAAGAACATTGGAATAAGACAATGCAAAATGATAAATGAACAATTTCATCAGTTTGCTTGAAAAGTTCACGGTTAGGAGTAAAGTGTAGCTTGTTTGATCGTGTTGTTGTTTTAAAAATAATAAAAATGGCTTTTTATGTCGTCCAAACAAGGAAAACAAAAAAATCTAAACCTGTACTCACAATTTTCCACTTATTTAAAAAAAAAATAGATGCAGTTATAGCTCTGTTTTTCTGTGATTTCTGGTAGGAAATAAACCAGTATAATTTAAAATTTAGCCATTTTACGATTCAACCGCAGCTCATTAGGTCAGTGGTTAGTGCTGAAATCTTTCATTTCCATTGGAAGATATCATACGATATTGACAATAGATAAATACTGCGTAAAAACCTGTTTTTCACAACACTAGAGCCCTATTATTAAAGAAACGCAAAGCCACATTAAATACACTAGACATTCGCACTCAACGATCTTTAACTGAAATGTCTTTTAGCTTTAAGTTTCAAGACAAGTCTCTTTAACCCTTTGTAAGGCAGTAGCAACTATTTTGTTTTCTGTTCACTCATAATATATTTGCAACTTTTTTTTAACTACTAGCTACTTCTTTCATTTGCCAGCACTCCTTATTTTTCTGAGCCATAACAGATGTAAATTGACACATTTAGAAGAAAATTTGTGTCAACAGACGGCTATTAATGAGCAAGAATAGGTAAAACTGTAATATCGATGTTTGTACTGAACGTATTTTAGTAGAATTGATGCCAAATGAACGATCTATGTTTTATAATAAACTAGCTGAGTGTGCCCGGCCTTGCTCGGGATTCAATGTGAGCTTGAGTTTATGCGCCGATTAAAAAAAAACATACTATACCTCCACATGCCAAATGTAGTTCCATTTGCTTGAATAGTTCTCGAGTTATGCAGAAATTTCTGTTTCATTTGCATAGGATCCCCCTTAGAGGGGGAGGGGTCTTAAACCATCATAAGAATCTTTCCCGGCCCCAAAAACCCTTGCATACAAATTTTCACACCGATCGGTTCAGTAGTTTCCGAGTCTATAAGGGTCAGACAGAAATTCATTTATATATATATATATAAATATAGATATAGATGAGCGAAATCTCAGCTCAGTTGGTTTATTATTCTATAAATAATAGTACTTTGAAAAAAAGGTGCTAAAAAAGAATAGATATACTAAAATTACTCTAACTTTCGACAGTCTAAATGTATCATTAATATTTGATAAATCAACCGTCAAGAATCCATGAACTTAGATGCGCACCCAGAAAAATTACACCTCTTTGAAGTTTTATGGAGAAAACTCAAAATTTGGACCAATTTTCCTATAAAAAAAGTTTGGCTTATTTCTTCAAACATAAAATTATAATTGTTTATTACATTACAGATTGATGGATGGTGAGATTAGTGCCCCTGAAACGCGACGTGGAAGGATTCCATCAAGTGCACCTTGCCAAACTGGTTTGACATCTGAAATACAATTCAATTAGCGCCGTTCGCTAAAGGAAACGTAAACAAGGTTCAGTTAGCGAACGTTGAGTGTAGCTGGCAACTTAATACGCACATATTGTGGCGCTTCTTACAATACTTGCCCGATCAAATTATCGAATCAAGGATTAGAAAATCATTAATAACCATAGCCGCACCACAGGTGCTAACACATCATCATGGCATAATTCATCAGAAGACGAGAACGACGAGAACGAACAAACAAAGAGAGCGGGAGAGCAAAATGATCGACCTCCAGCCTCTAGCTTTAACCATCTCCAGCTGCAGCGAGCGAAGTGTGAGCCATTGCGGTGGTTGGCATGGAATTAAATTCAAGCCGAACCATGGATAAGGTGCTAAGTAACATTGAAAGATTCTCTTCGTCGACTTTTTCTTCGCATTCTAACACAGCAAGAAGTCAAGTTATTAACGAAATAGAAAGTCGATGAAGACAAAACTTAGGACCTAATGTATTGTTCAGCTTAAAATGATAAAAAATTACAACAACAGGCAGTTGCATTCTCTACTTATGATCAACGTACATGTGCACGATTTCACACATAATTAATAACTAATTATCACTGCACGACAAAAACAAACTGGGATGTTCGCCATTAGACACAGAGTTGCAGCAACAAAAGCAGCATTCAACAAGAATTTTTCCTCTACACTGCGGTGCACTGCAGGTAGAAGTGTTGGTTTGTTTGTACTTAAATGAGCTATGCCGATTGTATATGGCAAGTTTTGCTAAAATCAATGCTACTCGTGTTTATTCGCGAAATTCATATCAAAGGTTGATCACTTGCGTCTTGCCTCTTGCAGTTTTCATGATGACATTGTCAATGTGAGAGTTGAACTTAAGTTTGTCATCAATAATCACGTCAAGATATTTAATCTCCCGAACGCGATCAATAGTCTCATCACCAATTACAACCAAGACGTTCTCATTTACTCGATTCCGCGAAATTACCAGAAATTTAGTATTACTTGTATTCAATTTCAACTGCTCATACTTCAACCATCTACTTAGAGAACGCAAATCTTCATTCAAGTGTAAAACGGCATCGTCTAAATCGTAAAACGCGTCGCAAGGCATTAATTTACATAATAAATAACAAGGGCCCTAATCTTGGCCCTAATACACTTTTCTGCAGCACTCCAAGGTTAAGGGCCACCCACATTAGATCCGTTTGCGTTGCGTTGACGTAAATTTGGCAGTTAGACAATAGATTTAGCTATAACTTTACCGCAACGCGTCCGATCCGGATCTAATGTGCGTAGGCCTTTACTCCCCAAGGGACTTGAAACAGAATCATTAAAAACAGTCCGTTGAGTCTTGTTACACAAATAGCTTTCAAAACATTTATATGAGTACTAGAAATTCCAAAGGCCTCATAGCTAAAAATATGGGGCCTCATAGCCTAGTCAGTAAAGGCACGGTATTACTAAGCCGGCGGCGGCGGGTTCGATTTCCGGTCCGGTCGAGGGAATCTTTCGGGTAGGTAGATTTCTCGACTTCCCTGGGCATAGAGTATCATCGTATCATTGTGCTTGCCACACAATATACGAATTCATGCATTGGTATTGGCATCGAAAGCTCTCAATTAATAACTGTGGAAGTGCATTTAGAACACTAAGTTGAGAGCACGCAATAAGCTAATATGCACTAAGCATTTAGCTTGAAATGCGAATAAGAAGAAATTCAAAAGCCCTTGATTGTACCGAAGACAACATATTAAGAAGACTGCCAGAATCCAAGCGACAGATACAGTAACGCTGCGCTTGAGTGAAGGTGGAAGCAACGCTTAGAAAAATGAGCAAATACGCAAACCTTTCTTCTGAGGATGTAATCTTTGCTATCAAATTCGTTTGAAGCATTTACCTTTGACCGGCAGATGACGCGATTATACCTGTCTCATAGCGTTCGTATGAGAAAATGGAAAAGTTGCCAGTCTTCTTGATAAGTTGTCTTCGATTGTATTGAACAATAAGGGCCTAGAAATTGTTTCAAAAGCGCGTTTCAGATAAAAAAACAGCAACATTTATCTTTACGCTCCAAGTTGACTTTCCACTTTGCTAACACCAAATTCAACGCAGTTTCTCAAGAATGACCTTCCCGATATCTTGATTGTTCTGGTATTATCAATGAGCTGAGTACTGCGGACTCACTCAAGGTGCTTGTCACTTGGGAGCCAGTGTGAACTGTCAAGCGGGAGCCAAACATTCAGAAGCAGCAAATGCAGTTACTGTTCTTATCTACCGTCAAGCATTGTAATCTCATAAAAATGTTCTATACTTTTTCATAACACATTCTTAATTTTAATCTCAAAGATAAAAACCAACAGGCTTAGTGATGAAAGTATAAAAACCAGCATAGCTTTTATGAGGTAGCTGAGTTTTCAATTACAGTACAACATACTTTGGCGAAACATGTATGTCAACAAACTTTGATAGAGTCATAAGGGCTCGAGCACTCCTGGCTCAGAGCTTTTGGCGGGAATCAACTGAGAAAGAGCAAATCAACTTCAAACTTGAGAAAATTTTCAAGCAGTTTTCCATTAGCTGGCAAAATAAAATTGGTCGACTCCGCAGTACCCAGTCAATGAGTTGCTATTCAAATCGAGGGGGAAGACGGTTTTCATGTGAGTACCTGTTTTACTCAGAGTTGCTCAGAGCTACTCCGGTTTGCTCTGGGATCTGATCTAATTTGTAACAAAAACAGAATTAGTAGGACATATAGTTTTGGAATCTGACCATGTAAATGTCATTTCGATAACGAAACTAAAACAATGAGTGAAGAAAATAAATGGATGCAATATTTAAATAAGGAAATGATCTCGTTTACTACCAGTTCATTGAAGTTTTGGCTATTTTCTTAAATCACTCTGATGATGGCTTTCTGCAGGGCACTTTTCTCTTTACAATAGTAATGAAATTTACCAGGATCTTGCTACCGTAGTACTGGACATCCAGATGCTCAGAGTAAGCGAATGGATATTCCCTTGCGGCTACCAGCTCCGGTGGGGACATGTACATGATGAATCCTGTGAGGGTCTCGGTTTCTAGAACAGGAAATTACAAACGTATAAACTATTCCACCAAACCGCCACAGACGCTCCCCTTGCCTCAGTTATTTTGTATCAAAACAGCAGCGTTATTGCGTGATGTTTGTTTTGCTAGCAGGTTTTCCGATGAATTGAGTGTATTTTACGGCATAGATCACACGCTGAAAAAACTAACGTTCCTTTACACCGTAAACATTAATTGTTTGGGCTGCGTTATCAGAGAGCAAAAGAGTTCCTCAGAGTTACTCTGCATTGTTTATAATTTTTCACTGCCTTCCCCTTCGATTCAAATACTACGACAGCTGGCCTTTAACAACAAGTTTAAAAAAAAATCTAATTTGTGCCACATGTTGATGGGACGAAACTCTTCGGCTTTAATCGTTCCAGCAACTTTTTGAATAGGAACCACTAAGGATTCCTTCCAAATGTGTGGGACATTTGCTCTCACGACCTCAATCTCTCAACATGCCATATATTTTGTTGACACTCGATTTGTGATTTCCCTTTCAATACAATAGAGTACCTGTCACTACAAAACATGTCTGGTACCTCTATATATGACTCAGACTCCTACTGAAATAATTTAGAAGTTCATTTTCTTAGCGGTTTGGTATGTTCTGATGAATTATTCAACAATAGATCTATCTCATATGCGTTATTAGAGAGGGGGTGGGGGATTAAATACACCCTTCCAAGCCCTCTTAACTAATATAAATAGAAGTAAAACTTCAAACTGAAATAATTTCGGAGTATCTTATCTTATCGATTTGGTATGTTCAGATAAATTATTCAAAAACAATTCCTCCATCTCATAAGCATAGTTAGATAGGAGGAGGGGCTTACTATACCCCCGCCTTCCTCACTCATATAAATGAAAGTAAAGCTTAAAACTGAAATAACTTCGGTGTTTCTGATTTTGTCAAGTTGGTACGTTCAGATGTATTCAAAAACATTTGCTTCTATTAATAGGCTTAGTTCTCTTCTTCTTTTTCTTTCTGTTTGAGCTGTCGTCTGACAACTCAGTGTTGGGCCAGTATGTAGACTATAAGCCCAAATAGACGAAGTCAGATATGACAGTTTGAAAGTGAGTACCCCACCTCCTTCCCTAATATTTTGGTGTAATATACAATGTCAGACATATGCACACGAATGTCATTGGATTGTAATGATTATATCAGGCTTGCTGGAACTCCTCGAAATCACTGGAGGTTTTAAAACACTCTTGTCATGCGAGTTTAGTCAGCCCTCACCTCGAGTGAGTAACGGCAGGAATGTGGAAGAAGTAAACAAAAACTCCTCAAGAGAGAGAGAGGGAGAGTGAAATTCAGCGAGAGGACGATTTGACGTGAGGTGCGCTTTTCGAGACTCTGGATGACTTTTATGTTCGACGCAAGAGAGCTTCACCTAGAGTGAGAGTAAGAGCGTATGATAGAAAACATGAACATGAATGGCAGCAAACCTCACTCTCATTTTATCCCCCTTCGCTCAAAAGCTCTGAAGCTCAGTGGAATGATTTAGCAGTAGGCATTCTACTCCTCAGAAAAATGCAACGCTCGGCTCATTTCAAACTCGCGAGCGAGGCTCCATCAAGCCTGGATTATATTTCAGTTCAATGCTGTTCGATCACCTTGAAGTCGGTCAAAATTTCGAAAAGAAATCAGCACTGAAGAAATGACGTTAGGCTTGGAAGCCCAACTAAAACGTAGCCAACCTAAAAATAGACCAACGATCAAAATCCGATTTTCGGAGACGAAACTAGTGAAGACAGTTTTTTAAATTTTCCAACTGCTGATAATTCAAACAACATCACCTCACAAACAACTGGACAGACAAGTGGATATTATATACTTACACTACAACAATTTTCGATTCAAAAACTGTGTATAGTAAGCTTCTCTTTACACACTTCCCCCCGCCCCCCCCCCCCCATACCCCGCACTCTAACTACGCTTATGAGATTGAGCAATTGTTTTTGAATAATTTATCTGAAAATACCAAATTTGATAATAATGATACTCAAAAAAATCAGTTTGGAGTCTGACTCCCATTGGTTCACCGGCAGTGTTGGCAGAAACAGCGATTTTTGGGATTTAATGCAAACCATAAATATTTGAACAGTTATTACTTTTGTAGAGACATTTTAGCAACATACTTCCTTTGGAAAAGTTGTTAGGCACTTCCTGGACTATATTTGAACATGGTTAGTTGCATGGTTGAAGCAACATTGTGGTCTTTAGGGATAAAAATGTAAAAATGTAGGTTTTCCCATACTAATTTCAAACGCAATGCGGAAAGCCGGGTTACCACCAATCGTTCCCAAATTTTGCACAGTTGTTTGATACCCCAAATGGAACCAAAAAAGGGTTTTTTTTTTCATATAACGGTGACCCACTCTAATGAATATAGCGACTATAATGGAAACCGGATTGGAAATTCAGCAGAAATAGTAGTAAACTGTACCAAACCACCGTCCTCTGTTCGAATGAAACCTCAGACCATTCAAATCGAAACATCAAAATCGGCTTTTCGAATGATACCTGCAACCGGATGACGGTTGTTTTGAAATCAGATGGTTTTCCTCTCGAATACAGGATGAACATTGTTATGAAAAGGGATAGGGCCTTCAGTTGGAATTGCGTAATGCTCTCTGCAGAATGATAGTCATCTTAAATTGAAATTCATTTGGTATTGGTTCAGCCCCTCAACGCAAATCATTCAAATCGATGATGTCTATAATTCTATCGAACGTCATTTGCTGCTCTGAGTAGACAAGTCATCATACACACTCATTTTTTTACTGCCGTAAACCAGCAAAATTTTGCTGGATTTAACCGAGCTAATAATCCAGCAATCCTTCCAGCAAAATATTATTGCTGAACGACCAGCAAAACATATTGTAGCTCATTTGACAGCTCGTTGCTAAAAAACTAGCAATATTTCACTGGTTTGTTCAGTAAAACTGCTTAATAAATATTTACTGAATCACCAGCATTTTATTTGTTTTTTTTTTATAGATTTTGCCAAATTAAGAGAAAAATATAAATAGAATCTATATGTACCGATTTATACCGATTTTTTTTAAATATTCAAAATGAATATTGCCTGCCCGCCTTCAGAATTTCGGAGAAAATTATTATGAGAGACTTATATCTTTTTGGACATCTCATTTTTTTAGCCCTTAAAATTCTATAAAAAAGATCATCCTCAAAAATGTCTTATGGATTAATCTGTCGATTAATGTTTCAATTTCCTCACCATTTTAGGCTACCCATGAATCGACAAACTGTCGATGGCTCTTTCTGGTAATTCCAGGGGAATCGGGAAATACTTTCAAAACATTATTTAACTTCCTTCTTCTAACTTTCCCCTGGATTTTTCATCCACCTTACATCGTTTTTTTTTCGATTCCTTTCGGAAACTTATTTCGACTTCTCTTGGAAGCTTCTTCAGCCTTCGCTCGAATGATTCTTCCATCTTCTCCCGCCAGTTTTTTTTTTCCCGGAACTTCAGGCATGCTTCCAGATTTTGATTGCGGATCCACACTAGCTGCAGGAACTGTTAAGAAGTTCTGAAACTTCAGAAAAAATCCAGAATTTTGAGTAAGTTTCGATAAATTAAAGAATGTTTCAATAACTTCTGCTAAAATTCTAAAATCCGGTCCAGGAAACTCGAGTGAACTTAAGGAAACATCATACATATTTTGGATACTTCACAAGTCCAAAGAACTTCTGGAAAATTTAATGGTTTTCAGGACAGTTCAGTTTCAGGAGAATTGAGAAATTTTTTTCGGAAGCTCCGAGAACATCAGGACAGATCAATAAATTTCAAGGAAATCGCTAAAATTTTAAAGGACTTCCGAGAAATTCAGGCAATTTTCAAAAACTTTAACAATGTTCCGAGAGGCTCATGCAAATTTAAGAAACTTAAGGGAAGTTACATGAACATTAGCACATTGTGAGAACACTTGATGGGAAATTCCGTGCTTATTAATAGCAGTGTTGATAACTTTTAAAAATTAGAAAAATCGGAAATATCAGAGAACTTTAATGCTGATGTTACAATAGCAAGAAAGAAAATTGTGAGAGCCCTCAAGAAATTTCGTAATCTTCAAGAAAGTCTAGAGACCTTCCAAGTTGATTAGAGATATTCCGGTAGTCTCATTATAATCAGGGAAGTTCCAAGTATTTCAAAAATGATCAGATTACTCCAAAACAGCCCTATTAACTTAAGGAAAATAACGAGAACTTCCTAAGTACATTTCAAGAATGTTCCAAAAACTTCAGGGGCATTGCGGGGTCTTCAGGGATGTTTTATAACCATTTAGTAAATTTTCGCTCATTAAAAACTCATTATATAAAACATCCCCCTAGAGCTCTTTCTTCCGGAATTATGTCCTTGTTTCTTTCGACTGTTCCGTTAGCGCTCTGGCTTCCGACTTCCTCCTGGATTTTTTCCCAATCTACTTTAGGAAGTTTCTGCCAGCGTCTCCAGGAAGTTTCTTCCGTCTTCTCCAGGAAGTTCAATTAAGCTTCTCCCAGAAATTTCTTTCGTCTAGTTCTGGAATTTTGCCCAGTTGTTTTTTTTTTTTTACTTCTATTGGAAGGTTTTTCCGAGCTTCTTCTGGCTTCCCCTGGAAATGGCTACTTCTGGAATTTACTTCTGATTTCCGAAATTTTTCGGCCTTCCTTTGAATGTGAAATCCGTTTTTTTTTCTGAAAGCTGGTTTAAAATTTTGCCAGAAGTTTCTCAATTTATGTCTTGAAAGTTTCTTATTTCTCTGGATGTTGTTTTCAGCTTCCTCCAGAAGCTAATTCAAACATTTCCCAGAGTTTTCTTCTGGAATTTTCCGATCATAGTCCAAAAGTTTAAACTTTCGCTTTCAAAAACGGATAATACCGATTTTTTAAAACCTTTACCGATAAGCTTTAAAACATTCTGGCAACGCTGCACCAAACGTCTTAATATTACAGA